CCTGAGGAAATCATAAGGCAGCAGGAGAGGAGCTGCAGTATCGGTGGTTCAGGTTAGCACCCACCCATTTTATTCAGTCAGGCCTTGGTCATGTATAGTAATTTGTAACTTCATCTAGTCTCAAAGCATAGGATGTTCTGCGCCTCCCCAGTAAATGGCATTACTAATTGGCAGCCAGAGGCAACATTCAGCTTGGGGTATGGGTTTAAAATAGCCTTCTCCAGCATGGTACCCTCCAGATCTTTTTCTCTCCAACTCCAGTTGGCTGTGGCCAGGATGGTCAATGGTCAGGAATGCCAGAAGTTATAGCCCAAAACATCAAGAAGGGACCAGGTTAGGGAAGGATGACTTAGAAGGTATCACAGCCCTGTTGCCATCTCCATCTTCTTCCCTTCCTTCTAACATGTGTCATCTTCCTGACCTGTTTTTCTCACAAATATGGTAGCCGCCACAACTGAAATGAAACCTAAGCAACAAACTGGTGTGTGCATACATACTCTGCATCACCACCCCATTCCTGTGATGACACAGGAAGCCTGTGTTCCCCACCACATGTGTAGTCTAGCATGCAAGAATACACGCAGGCATACACCTCAGGTACCATGCCATAAGCACTATGGGGTAGTGCCCATGTGCTCCCATTGTATTTATGATGCTTTGAGACTGCACGTGATTAACCCTTAGGTGGAATAAAATGCTTGCTGCATTGCACCCCATAATCATAGCACATATTGAAGAGTGGCACATCATATTACTGCACTATTAAATTTAAGGAAGGGGGAAATTTTTCCTTTCCACCTTTCCTTTCCAGTGACAGTTCATTATGGATGCTAGATTTTGCACAAGAATAAAAACATCCTTCCTCTCACAGGCTAACAAAGGAAACGTTTATCACACTACAGTTTGGATTAAATCTGTGTTTTTCTCCTTTGTCACCCCTTAGATTGAATCTGAAACAACAGCATCAGAAGAAAATCTAAACAATGCCACTCTACGCATTGCTGAACTAGAAAAGAATGTGGAAGTGCTTAGACAAAAGGCTGCAACAAACATAGAAGACATTGCAGCAACAGAAAAAACTGTTGCTACTGTGAATCAAACTGCCACAGAGATCAAACAAGTGAATCTTTACTTTTGCAATTCTTTTGTTTTCAAGTCTTCAGAAACTAAGACATTTTCTTCATTAGCAGTTTGTACTATCAGAGTTGCTCTGAATGTGTAGATCATATGAGGTTTGGCCAAAAGTATCAGCACTATTTAAAATGCCAAAGATTATTACTGAGGCAGGTAGCTCATTGATTGATGTATTTGTTTGTTATATGTGCTAAGAGCAATCCATGGTACAAAACCTGGCATTTTAGCATGCCTTACAAAGCTGGTGACCTCAGGATGTTTTGATGGTGACTCTTGTAATACAATGGACAGAACATACTCTAGCCACTCTGACGAACTAGGTCAGTGCTAGAATAGCGGGATAAAAGCATCCCATAAAACCATAAATGCCAACTCTTAGTGTAGGGTTCTGTGGAACTGGGTGTTCTCTCGCATCTGCAACTCCAATTATCATACAAAGTATGTTCTCTTTCCAGTCTGCATGGGAGCTAAAGTCTTAACAGATCTGGAGGCCACCATAAATTGGCTGCCTTAAATTAACAATTGCAAAGTGTCTTTTTCTTAAATTAACAATTGCAAAGTGTCTTTTTCTTAAATTAACAATTGCAAAGTGTCTTTTTCTCCGAACTGGAAAAAGTCTTTCTTGAGGCAGAGGACTTGGATTCATCTCCTGTTTCAGCAACATTTTGTATTTTGATAACACACAATACTTTATGCAAGCAGGCCCTAGTGTTGAGTCATGCAGGTCAGGTAACATGAGACTATAACTCGATATTCACACCTCACTTCTGCCCCGTCCCATCTGTCATGTTCCTTGTGGCTCGGCCCTGCTACTCTCCATGTATTGCAGCTAGAATTGTGAAGCAGGAGTCCCTCTCTACACACATGGATTTTTCAAGTATTCAGAACAAGACAGGATTGAGATATTAAATAGTGTTCAACCCTATATACTTCCCCATTTCACAAATTCAGTCCCAGTGTGTAGCAAACCCCATGGTTAGCAAATGTACATATCTGTTCTCCTCCTCACATGACAGGAATTGCATGAGGCTTGAATGTCTGGCTAGAGCTCAAGTAGGAGTAACGTATTGGTCAGGGAGGTATATCAACCTGTGAGCACCCAAGCAAGAACAGAACTGTATGGGAGCTGTTAACTAGCTGAATGCTTGAACAGATGTCAGAAAACATTCTTTGAGTTTTTTCCTATGAGGAACTCTTGCAAGTTTCCTATTTTCTGGTGGTATGGTTTATGCAAGACAATGGCTTATGAAAATGAGCCTAGTTACTACACTGCATGTCTCCTAAAGGAAGATAATTCAAGAAATGTGGGTCTGTTATGCACACTTTAACATTAGAATAGACCTCAATTTTTCCCCCCAGTGGTAAAAAAAAATCATGCTTACTTTTTCTCAGTTTATTTTTTCATATCTATAGAGACGTATTTTGGAAAGGAACCCACTTATTTACAAAACAAAAGATATTGGTTTATTGCTATGGCAGGAGGAATTCCCAGTTGAAAGAAACTTTGTTGATTTGATTCACTCTTTACTGAAAGCCACTTGCTGCCAAAAAGACAGCAATATTCTTTTCACTTCCAAAAATAGTATGAACATCCTATCTAGTCTAGCTATGACTCATTTGAAAGGATGGTAACAACCAACCACGACTGATAAAAAACTTCATTACTTCTCTTTGGATAAAGAAGTTAGCAAGAAGAGGGAAGTAGTGTTTTGAATGGTACCAAAGCAGCAATCATTTTCTGTGGAGTGTACTTATGATATGCAAGTAATCAATGCTCAGTAGACACCAGTTGCATTGTAGCCATTATTAAAAGGCCAAACTATCAAATAAATCAATGAAGAATGCATTTGGTTTCTATACCCTGAGTAATATTGCCACCTTGTGTGTGTCTCTCATATTGCAGATACTAGATAATGATGTGACTGACAAATATAAAACAGTAGAAAGCTTAATTGCCAAGAAAACAGGAGAATCTGCAGATGCCAGGAAGAAAGCAGAAGCACTACAGAATGAAGCGAAAGTACTATTAGATCAAGCAAACAGCAAACTTCAGCAACTCAAAGGTAAAATTTAACAGAAACATTTTTCCTTTTTTTATGTTTATGTTCTCAGTTATAGCAAAACACTCTCCTCCCACCTCCAAAGCCAATTGACAAGAAGTACCAAGATGCAAGAACACTATCATTAAAAGTAGCAATTTCTGTCTATTATTAGAAGTTTATCTCTTTTGTGTAAGGCAAACAACTGGCTTGTTTTCAATTCTACTTTGATATTGCTTCCCAACTATCCCACATCCCTAATCTGTAAAAATAATTCATGTTCCCTTTTCATGCAGAACTGGAAGATACATATGAGAAGAATCAAAGAGTCCTGGAAGACAAAGCCAAGCAAGTGGTGCAACTAGAAGAAACAGTCCGTGGCCTTTTACAAGCCATCAGTCAAAAAGTTGCAGTTTACAGCACCTGCTAATAACTGAAAAAGGAACAAAAAATTTAGGAAAAATGAAACCAAAAACAGGCTTAAATCAATACAAGTTCTAATAACTTGACTGAATACCAACTTTTGCATTATAGAAATAAAACAAAGCTTTAGTAATGAAGTATATGATTCATTTAGCCAATGTTACTTTAATTAATCCAAATGGTAATTAACTTTTTACTCTGCTAATAAAATCTTAGCTTCAAAGATGGGACTTTTAACCAATTAATTTTCATTTAGAGGGTCCTACTTTCTTATCTTGAAAGATTGCACAAGCTGCCATGATTTTGTACAGGAAAAGAGATTTCTTTGCTGTCCGTGTTGATTAACTCATCGGGATTATAGGCTGGAGACAAGCAATTCAAAAGTTGTGACACATCACTGGTATCTACAGTGCTGGTGCTCCACTGCAACAAAGCGTATTTCCCCAGAAATCAGCCTTACTGATACCAAACATAAAGCTTATGGAGCCTGCTCTTAAGACTCCTGCTTCAGCACTGCTGGTATTTTAAGAGAATTCCCTGTAATGATTTTGGAGCTCATACTGCGTTCATTGACCTGATTGGTACATAATGGCAAATTGTGGGTTAATCCATGATTTTCTGTGGCTACGTGAGCATGCTGCCCCCTTTGTGCAAGTCACATCCACTTTTAAACAACAACCTACAATCAGCCAGGTCATAAACAGTTGAGTGTAACATACAAACCTGGAGAGCTAAGTTACTTATGAGCTAAACAATCCAACAGTTAACCCATGGTTTATTGTTGGGTTAACAGCGAGGCTGTTTAGCTCCTAAACAATGCAACAATCCAGGTTCATATGTCACACTCAACAATCATTAAGAGTCCCAAATGCCCCTGTTTGGGCATCACAGAAAAAACTATGACTGCTTCATTCACATCTTGTTCTAGGAAACTAAAAGCAACCTGTTTCTACAGCCATTGCATTCAAATAGGTCCATTCTGCTCATGTACAAGTAACATGGAGAAAATATTATGGGTTAAAATCTGCTATAGTTACACAAAAGGGTAATGTCATTCATAAATGAATCTCAAACCTATTTGAACAGCAATTTCAGTTGTTTCCTTTGACTGTTCCTGTTTACATGCAGATCAATGCTATCAAAAATAGCTATGCAAGAAAGAAACAGGGGAACTGCAATTCTTGGAATCTATGAACTGGATTCAAATATGTATTTGTGCTCATGGAAGGTGCTTCCAACTTACAGTTCATGTGAGAAGAGTGATGCTAACTCCAGAGATATTGGTCTATTTGTATAACACCTTTCAAAATCTTCACATTGTAGTGTTTTAAAAATAGTCTGAGTGGCTATTTTTCATTCTACTCAGTATTGGTAGGACCCACCCAAAACAATTACAGTATAGACTAGTTTACATGACATGTTTTATTTCCAGGTGGTATCTTACTTACTAATATATCATGTAGTGATTGTTTTGTCATAGTAGTACTAAAATAATCATTCAACATATACAGGGAACCTTGAGAAAGTGCTTGCTTTGTGATAGTGTTTCTTAAACATTTCTCTGTTTGTATTCCAATCATAATTCCACAACCCCTGACCCAGTCCCTACAGTGACCAATTTATTTCTCCGTTAAGACATATCCAGCAAATACATTTAACTCTTAGCTTAGCATTCCTCTTACCAAGTACAACACGTGTTGAAAACGGTGGGAGTGAGGGGGGCAGGGGAAAATCTCTACAAACCTTGCTGCTGAACATTACCATTCATACTCTACTATTAAGAAAAAAACCATCACAGGGCACTATGCCAAGGCATTTAAAAGCTACAACAGGTGAACTGTGTAGCCAGCACATGGTACAGGAGAATTTAAAAACTCATCTCTGTACAGAGTATCCAACCATTCCAAGTGAAATTATTTAGCCACTTGCAATTTTTCACTTGCCACTCCAGAAATATTTTTAAAATTTTGCAACCAAGAAGCTTCACAAGTAAAATTGAGCATGAAAAGGTTTTTGGCAATTGCTTTGACATTCAATTTTATTTTTTCTTAACACCTTCATGTTACTTTACAAAGTTCCACTAAAATAGAAGTGCTCCCAATATGCAAAAAGCCTGGATTATTAATATTCTTACAGCCAAATCAATTTCATTCTTTTTAAAAGTCCACTGCACCATAATTAGGGGAAAAAAGCTTAAAATAAGTGTAGATTTAATTCAAAATAACTAAAAGTTTGTGCTATGATGAAATCTGCTTTCATCAAATTTCCAAGAGTATTGTACAAAGGTAACAGGAGCATACTTTATGTCATGACATGGCAATATCAACTCCTCAGCAATGACAAAGCAACATGACCAGATAATATTAGCCATTGTATTTTGTCCAGGTACATGATGGAACCATGTAATTGCTCTACAGCCTTGAGCTGTCACCTCTGCAGTTTGTCTTATGCAAAACTTAAGACTGTACAAACAAGCAGTAATGCAAATACCTTTAATATACAACTGTTGGGTGATTTTCCCCAAACCCCTACTTGTTTTAAATATGTTACTTTTAAACAAAAGTTCACTGAGTTAAGTCCAAAAGACCCTGTTTTCCACAGAGCCTTTAGTCAATTTTTACAGGAAAATGTGCGTGGTACATTGTGGATTTCCCTTCACTTTAGAAGTTGATAGCTTTGCCAAATGAGGCTGCTAAGTTGGCTTCCCTGAAGGCTTCAGAAACAGTCTGTGGGGAACAAAAGAAAACCCATTAAGAAATGGACTGCAGGAAGGGTGGAGAAGAGCTTAATAGAAACAAAAAGATGCAGTGGTCTGGAGCCATACCTAATCCACACAAAAACAAGTAACTAAACAGCTCAAACCAACTTACTGGGTGTGCGTGACAAACTCTGGCTACATCTTCACAAGATGCTCCATATTCCATTGCAAGAGCAGCTTCATTAATCATTTCTCCAGCACCCTGGAGAAATAATCCAAGTAATAAATGCAAGTAATAAAAGAAAAAGGCAAACTTAGAGTGGACCTACAGGGGAAATTATAGTGCTATGTACTCAGTTCTTCTAAAAGATCTATCAAAATTTGGTGCCACGGAAGGCTTGAATTATGTATCATACACACATCGCATTTTTACACCTGGCACCCAATGGAATATTAATTAGTTGTGTTTTTAACCACTGAAATTTACATAGTAATCTATTTATTTTCTATACTGGCTGCTAATTGAAATGAGACTCTGGACAGTTTACATGATTAAAATGTGCAAATAAGCCTATGAAACAATACATTAACATTAAAGATAAATAATACATCAATACAACAACAGTAAAATAGCAGCAATAAACCCATAATGAACTCACAACAGTAGCAATGAAGATAACAGGTACTACGACTTCCCAATACTCAGAAGGGAAGACACGAAGGATTTTGCAGTATCATGACACAAGAGCATTATATGGTACTCACTGAGCCTAGAATATGAGCTCCGAGCATCCTGTCTGTTGACTTCTGACTTAGTATCTTTACCAAGCCGTCTGTGTCAGCATTAGTCTTAGCTCTGCTGTTCGCAGCAAAAGGAAACTTGCCAACCCTGTATTCTATTCCCTAAAAAGCAAAAGGTAGCTACAGATTACTGGAACTTTGCACCTTGAAACATCTGAGTAGCACTTGCATGGCTGTATGTAGCCAAATTTTTTGTCACACCAAGTACCATTCCTAAGGCCTTGTTCACTTGGAAGAAGTAAACCTGTGCCAGAGCTGTACCATTCCAAGGGCAGGTGGACACTCAAATTGAATGATTCTCTGTACCAAAACAAACAAACAAGCTCCTATGCATTGAAAACTTTATTTCAAAAAAAGGAATTCTAGACTTGCTTTCCCATGATAACCACTTTTCTGAATGTCTGCAATATCTTTGTATAAAAGAACATTCAAAGATAGATGGCACACCTGACATTGAATGTGGTACAACCCATTGAGTTAAACTTTAGTGAGATTCTGAACTAGACATGACAAACAAATCTCCGTACAGGATCTCCTGCAATTTCATTAGCAGTGGTTTAAGAAACAAAAAGGGACACACAAGCGAGAGACCCATTCAGCAGATTTAGCTCTTCACATCCATATACCCCTTCTGCTCCTTAAATTGAGTCACCCACTCTTCACCCCTTTCCCCATGATTGTGACTTGCCACTGTCACGCCTAGTTTAGCCCTAAAAAACTCAACCAAGAAAGGAAGCATCTTATTTTTAAAGACATTTCCCATCAGTACCTATCAAAATCACTTATTGAAAGTGGAGCACACAATTCAATTACTTTCCAGACTCTTCTTACAAAAGAGACTCCTCTTATCTGCTACACTGTTTCCTTTTAGTCCTACCAATGCCTTGCCATGTATAATTTTGACTGTGGTCAGTAATGATGCAATATTATCTGAACAGAGAAAAACTGAAATGAAAAACAATTTCTTGAAGTACAAATCTCTGTAGGATCAATTCATCAACTGACCAGGTTGTGTGAGGGACTCAAATCATTCTATCTGTTATGTTCAGATTATTACCTTCAAATTTTATTTGCCTTTACAAAGACACAGGTGTTAAACAAAAAGCAATATTCTTGATTACTTTAAAAGACAGGCAAGATCTAGACTCAGTTCAATGTCTTAGGTTACAGCATGATTCGCTTTTCTCATTGATTTCACTGGTACCAAAGCATTACTAGCTTAGTCTGTATCCATTCCATCATATTTCTATATTACAGGCATAATAAAAAGTATGTGAGAGAAGCCTCTGGGTAGCGTAGGTAAATACATGAGGACCACAAGGATGCACACGCCACCTGCTGGTGCAAATATGTTTGACACTCAGACCACAGCAACAAAGCTCACCTATGGCTCTCTTCCACTAGTTTTCAGTTTCTGAACAATGAAGGCAAAATACAGGGTGCTTGCAATGAAACTCCCCCCTCACCCCACAAATCCCATCACACATTTAAATACCCACATCCCTTCTATAGTCTTCTAAAATTGTAACCAAGGAGGCCATCCCTAAACGGAAAGAACCAGCTTTCCTGTACTTTCCCTATTAATTCAAACATGGGTATTCAAGTGCATTCCTATTATTACTTCCAGCCCCATTAACATGCACCACTCTAGCAAGCTGATTTCATATTTGCTGTACATTTTGAGTTTTCAGAAAGAAATAAAAGACACACTACTCCGCTAGGAGCAAAATGAAAGAAACCATGAAAATTACCTCCTCTTTCAGCTGTTCTTCAGATTTGCCAATCCAGGCAACTTCAGGGTGTGTGTAAATGACTGAGGGCACACAGTTGTAATCAATGTGAACTGCACCTCCAGCTATTCCCTCAACACACAAAATCCCTTCATCTTCAGCTTTGTGCGCAAGCATCGGTCCAGCAACAACATCGCCTATAGCATAGATGCTGCCAGATAAATGAAGTCAAGTGAAATAGTGCATATGTTTAAACTTATATGTAGCAATCAGAACCCTAGACACACTGATTTGAATATACAGTATTTGTAGAATAAGCCAAGAAAACTCAAACAACATTGTGAAATACAGTTTGATATTTGTAACCTTATTTGACACTTTTTATTTCCTATGATAAAACAATTTCCAGCCACAATCTCTTTTAATCTGAGGGCAAGTGTGGGCCTTTTTGTCTTCTTGTGAGAATCATTAAATAGTAGAGTTGGAAGGACCCAAAAGGCCCAAAAACACCCTGCTGAATGCAGAACTCCCAAGTTAAACCATCCGTAATGGATGTTCAGCTGCTTCTTGAATATCTTCTATGCAGGTGAGCCATAAGCTCCCCAGGTAACTGGTTCCATTTTCACACTGCTCGAACAGTCAGAAAGTTCTTCCTGATGTTCAGCTGAAACCTCACTTCCTGTAACTGAGACCAGTATTCTGTGTCCTGCAATCTGGGATGATCAAGAAGAGATTCTGCTCCCCCTACCCCACCCCTCTGTGCAACATTCTCTCAGGGACTTGAAGAGTCAGCCTTCTTTACTCAAGGCTAAACAAATCCATTTCTTTCGATCTCTCCTCACAGGGTTTTGTTTCTAGTCCCCTGATCACCTTTGTTACCCTCCTCTGAACCTTTTCCAGTTCGCCTGCGTCTTTCTTAAACTGTGATGCTCAGAACTGAAAACAGAACTGAAGACGAGACCTAACCAGTACTGAGTAGAGGGAAACTGGTACACTGCTTGATTTAGATGTTATACCTTTGTTAATGCAGCACATATTAGCATTTGCCCTTTTTGCATCTGCATTGCACTGCTGACTCATATACAACTTGCGATCCACAGTGATTCTGAGATCCTGCTCACTTGCAGCATTATTGAACTAAATATCCCCCATCTTTGTACTTTGTTTCTTTTTCCTAGGGTCAGAACTTTGCGTATATGTCCCTGCTAAATTTCATTCTGTTGTTTTCAGCCCAGCACTCCAACCTACCAAGATCACTTCTGGGGAAATAGCTATCCCATCCAATTTTGTGTCATCTGCAAATTTGATAAGGGATCTCTGTACCTCCTTGTCCAAATCACTAATAAAAATGTTGAAAAGAAGCACCAAGCCACAGACTGAACATTGCAGTATCTCATTCCTCTTACTCTCCCCAGTTTGAGAAGGTGCCATGGATAAGCTGTCTTTGAGTCTGATTATGTAGCTAACATTGGAGCTACCAATTGGAGTTGTTCCACCAAGCCCACTTTTAACTAGTTTTCTAGTCAGGTTATTATGGTGTACTTTTCAAAACTTTAGTGGAAGTCATGATATATTATGTCCACAGATTCCCATAGTCCACCAAGGAGGTTATCCAATCAAGAATGAGATCAGATTAGTCTGGTAAAATTTGTTATTGACAAATCTATGTCAGCTTCTAGTATTACAAATTTACTAGACCACCATCCATGATATAACAATCTGCATAGTACTTTAGAGCAACACAAGCAAAACCAGGAATTTAATCTGATAAATTATCAATCTTCCTTCACTATTGTATCATTTTTAAAACCATCTTGTTAGCAGGCTTGTAGAACAACTTTGTGCATTCACACTTGAAATTGCAGCTAATAAAAGTACATACTAGACTTCTAATAACCCAACAAGATCATCTGGTTATTTCACTTACTTTGGAATTTTGGTTTGGAACCGGTTGTTGATTGGAATTCTACCCCTGTTATCTAGTTCAATGCCCACATCTTCCAGACCAAGATTCTTTGTAAAAGGACGCCGACCAATACAAACTAGAAGCACATCACAAGTAATTACTTCTGCCTTGCCACCAGCAGCAGCTTCAATACTAATGGAAAAAAAGAGTATCAAAGTTCCAATGATGCCACACAAAGTTAATACATCAGTTGGTACTGAATCCTACCTGCTTCCTTTTATCCTGTAGTTATGCAAAACTAAACAGATCATTATACTAAGGACCTGCAAAAACCTATTTCAAATTATGGTAAAGCCATATCAGGTGTATACGTTTACTGTATATGTTTACTTCATTCACGTCATACTTCAAGTGACTACCTGAAGAATGCTTAATAATTAGCTCAAAAAAGAAGGCACATTACAGTCAATTCATTATGGCTTTACAATAAAGCTATCACATTCATAATGGATGGATGAATGATCCCCCAGATTCCCGTTAAGCTGCTTCAGCCTACAGCTTCCCCAGATTTTTTCTGGATCTTGACTACTGTGTCACAAAACACAACATCCTGGATTGAATGCACCACTTCTACCTCTGTTTCATGCCCTATTCACAGTTATCTCAAGGTGTGGAGAATCTGTGAGGGGTAGGAAAGCAGGATTATGTTCACACATACAGTCTGCTTGCTAAACATGCATACATACTTTGGATGTAATACTTGTACAGCATTAGCATCTCATCTATTTTTACCCATCCACCTCAAATTTGTGGGCTAACAATCATGCAATGTAATTCACAAGTATTTGTGAATAGGCTACAAATCAATCCCCTTTACATCAGAAATGTTACTTAAATTTGTGTAATACGAGGGGCAGATGGTATAAGTGGTTCTTGCCATTCTCACTATCCAAGATAAGTAATTCTCTGTATGAATGAGAGTGCACACGACTGCAGCAGCAAAGTAACAAGGACTCTTCTTTGTTAGTTTTTTCAATGAACTACTGCATTCACCAATCTACAATTTCCCTTTTGGAAACTGAAATTTTCAATATGAAATGAAAATATATTTCAACCTATCCTAATGATAGGTCTCAGATACATTGGAATACTTTCTCTGTATTATTTCTGTGTGTCACTTTTCTGATCACAGCTATTTGAGATTTTCTAGAAGACAACCTATTCCTTAAGTCAAATAGTCAATACTTACGACACATCAATCTTTCCATCTGGTTTCTTGATAGCACCAGTAACCTTAGTATTTAGTTTAAATTTCAGTCCTTGTTTCTGGAGAATACGCTGGAAATTCTTAGAAATCTCCATATCAATGCCCAATCCACCAACATGGCCCAAGAATTCCACAGCTGTCACATCTGCACCCAGACGCTGCCAGACTGAACCCTATGGAGAATACAACAAGTGCAACATTTTAAATGACTGTTCAAAAAGAGAGAAATAAGGGAGAAATGCTATGTTTAGCTTTGGCTAGAGTTAACAGCAATGTCAACCATGAAAAGCAAAGAAACTGCAGAGCTAGAAGAAGAACGAGAAGTAGAAATTGTCTACTAGAAATCATTAAACAGGCTGGGGAAATTCTGCAGTTTTCTGCAGAATGGAAAACTGGTACTAACCATGTGGGTTCACATGACATGCTAAGCTTAGTCCTCCAGGTAGTATTGCAGTGTTCTTCACTGCACAACCCATCCTGTCCTTCCCACCCTTGTTCTAACACCACAGAGATTTTTTCAGAGCTTCAAAAAAGTGGCACTAGCAGGAGGCTCAGGAATTGTGGAAAAGGGCACCTAGAAGTGTCAGTTCAACACTAAAATTTGAGAGTATTACATGGTTAAGGGGAAAATCTTAACCCTTTTACAGAGCACTCCCTGTGTTTTTCCCCCATTTTGCTGGTGCTTTCCAACTAACAGCTACGCAACTGACAGCTATGCACAGTTCATAATTTAGCCTAAATTGTTGAGAGGCAAGGACACTTTTTAGGAATTATTTTGCTAAGCAGCTCACTAGAAGATAAGGTAACCCATAATGGAAGTGCAGAAAGTAGTACTGGTACAGATAACACACACGTCCTCTGTGGCTATTTACCCATGATGAGCTGCTTTGTCATGAAATCCCAGAGACCCTGAAAGTCCTTTCTGGGTTGGTATTGCAGGTGGAGATAATCCATTCTGGATGCCTTCCTCAGTAGTACTATGTCATTTTTTCTCTTAGAGTCTCAATTTTACTCTTACACTAGAACTAAGGTACACCCTTAACAGACCACAGCTTTGTCATATTCTAAAATACATAAGGCAAAACAAGATGGAAGAATAGCCTTCTAACATGGTAGCATTCATTTTCTGTTTCATTTTGACCCCAGTAATAATGCAACCTCAAAAAATTATGCAGGACGAATTAGGTGTTTGCAAAGAAGTTATTTTGTATCTGTATTCAGAGAAGACACTATGCAACAACATGCATTGGAAGTGAATATACAAAAGCTCAATCCTGAAGGCTTCACTGTTGTTTTAGGGCTGTCTGCAATAGAGAAGTGGGTCAAACAAGCAAAACACCACATATTTAGGAGAAAGAGATCTACACTCCATGGAATGTCCCCCTTTTCTGAACAACTCTGCTACTTTCTCCCTCCTCTTCTGCTGCTATATTCTTCTTCCCTGCAATTTCATCATCCTTTTCTGCTTCCATGAATGTTACTCCTTACGTCAATAGTACTCATTACTTTGCTCTTTACACATCTAAGAATTCTTCAGCCCTGAATCTTCTTCACTCCCACTTTGTCTCATGCCAAAGCACATTTCACCAGCCCTGTACAGGGAATGTTTTCATGTAGCATTCATAGTAAGTGAGGAAGCGAGTTAAAGAGCAACAGTCTACACCACTTAAACCAGTTGAAAACCACATGTAACTTCCAAGCTGGAGGATGCTTATCAGGTCTTAGAATGGTTAAAATGACAGTAGCAGTAACATTATTAAAACTCAGTCCATTGCACCACGCCCCAGTACATACTGGCCCAATACAAAGATTTGCTGGGTTCCATGTGGACAACAATGGGAGTACCAGGGTTACCACTCAAGACTGCATGAAAACATAGGTTGTATGAGCTAGCATTTTCAAACATGGAGTAGACAAACAACTGTCATGATTTGCATAATGCTGTCAATTGAAAAAAGAAGACTCCTGAAACAGTAGGAATTATAGCAGCTGCCCAAATAGCCTCCATTAGAAAGCCTGTTCATACAACCAATGCCTTCATACAACCTTGGCTGGTTTGTAAAATTACTGAAAGCTAAATCAGTCCTCTACAGGCATTTGCTGGGAGGCCAGGAAATATTTACAGAGGTCACTAGCAATATTTTATAGACACTGAAAAAGAAAAGAAAAGAAAAGAAAAGAAAAGAGAAAAGAGAAAAGAGAAAAAAGGAAAAAGAAAAAAGAAAAGAAAAAGCATTTCTTACCAGTTCCACACCAATGACCCCTGCACCAATCACCACCATTTTTTCAGGGACTTGTTTCAAAGACAGAGCACCAGTAGATGAAACAACTGTGTCCTCATCAATCTAAACAGATTTAACAGGGGATGAAAATTAATTTCCCCAATACGTTAAATACATTTGTAGAAAACTATACATTGCACACAAATACAAGTATAATAGTCACCACACAATGACGGCACAACATTTCTGAAAACAGAACTACTTTGTAAATATATAATGGTTTTATCTTATTTGCTTGTTTTATGTGTGTATTGTTTTAAGTTGTTGTACATAAACCTTGATGGGTTTTTAGCAGTTAAGACAATATATAAAAAGTACATGCATTGTATATGCTCTGTTAAAAATATTCAAAGTCAAGCCATACCGTAATCCCTGGAAAAGGTGTTACTTCTGAGCCTGTAGCTATGAGAATGTTCTTTGTATTAATAACTTGAGTGCTGCCGTCATCTTTGGTTGCTGTGACCTGGTTTTTGCCAGTTATTTTTCCAAACCCAGACACATGCATCACCTCCCAAAGAAGAAAACAAGTTTACTCTTAAGGCCAACATTTCAGTCTGTTACTAATCATACCATCAACCGCAGGAACACTATTCTTTGTACTTTTTGAAAGGAAGTTTTGAATTCAACAAACAAAGCAAAGTAGAAGTTGCTAGGGTATAGTGGCATTTAGGTCTTATTGGGACACACTCTGAAGGAGCCTTCTCCAACCAAGTGCCCACTGTATCTTTCACACTACAGTTTCCAGCCTTCTTGACAAGTGGCCATGCTGGCTGGGGCTAATAGGAGAGGATAGCCAAAACATCTGTAGGGTGCCAGGTAGAGGAAAGCTGCTCCAGTGGATGTTTTTATTTTATGCAAACATCTCTAATTTTACACAGAACTCATGAGCAAGTCTTTCTTCTATCAGCAATCTGAAGGCCTTAAGGAGAAACAAGCCAGCCTATTTTTAAAAAATATGAAGAAAGGACTCACATTAACACTTCCAGTTCACTACTACATGGCTGATAAGGATTTTTTTAAGTGTGGACACTCAAGCAGTGGCATGTAACAGTGTTAGAGGCCCCACCTTCAACAGGTAGTAAACTCTAGAATAATTCTAAAATAAAATAAAGCAACTGAGTCAGCACTATTTCTTGCCTGTGGTTCTTGCAGGCTATATGAACCACTATTTGTCTGAGATCAAGCTTATTGTTATGGATTCTCCACAGCATGCATCCTCAAACTACGGCCCGCGGGCCGAATCTAGCCTGCCATGCTGATTTATCCAGCCCGCCTCGGAGCTTTTGGACTCATTTGGAGAAAATGATCTCCAAGCAAGTCCAAAAGCTCTGAGCCAGCGCAGGCATACTCAGTGGGAAGTCAGGCGCGATCGTGGGTGCACTCGTGAAGGGAAGACGGGCCCACCACCGCCACCTCGCTGGCCCACACCTGCACCCACCACCACTGCCTTACAACTGGCCCCCTGTTGAAAAAGTTTAAGGAACCCTGCTCCACACAAACCACTGATGTGGATATGGGAGAAAAGTCACTTGTGTGATCCTATACATGTTTAGTCAGAAGAAGACTTAGAATTCTGTAGGTCAGGGGATGTTGGAATTGTAGGATTTCCATCTGTTTAAACATGCATAGGATCGCACCCTTAGGAATCTTCTATTAATGATTGGAAATTGTGTTTCTATACAGGCAACCTGATCAGTTCATTATACAAAAGTTATCTCTGCAGACACAAAATCTAAAATAAAGTAAAATAACATTAATTAAGTACAAATTGTCTAATAACTGGCCAGGAAGAGTGAAAACAAAAACTGATTTTGTTCATTACCAAGCATACCTTATTCTGTTTAAACAAGTGAGCAATTCCACCTGTTAAAGACTTCACTGCACCACTCTTCTGCTCCATCATCTTCTCTAAATTCAACCTGAGTCCTGTAACTATTGAATACAGACTTTATTTTAGTGGTATATTGTAGTCTTGACCACCAAGCACTCCTAAGGAATGTTCACTGCTCAATTAGACACTACAGTAAAATATCTAACAAGTGTTATAATTCAAAATAAACTATTCATTAATTTTAAATGCTTAGGATACCATGTTATTCATTCTGCCCTTCACAGAGATGATGCAGGTGATGACTGGGAACAAGACTGGGAATAGTACAGTTTACAACCAATCTACTAAAAAGGTCCCTAATCAGGAAGCAGGCTTCATAATATTGGGCTGGCTTAGCTTTGAGTTTCCTATTCTGACAAACTTGTTTCATTTTTTGAAATTTCAGCTAGGCACTACATTTAAACCAAGGATCCCAGGTCAAAACAAATTCTGGCCATTTGCTAAACAAGCCAACTTCAACCCATGGGTTCAGAAGCTAAGTTATCAATGAGCTTGATTTAAAATCAGAATGTGATTTGAACACAATGAGATTCTTTAAATTGGAAGCATAGGTCTCATGTAGCCCTGTTCTGGATACATAAGAGGAAAAGAGGAGAGGAAACAAAATGTCAGAGCATGTAAACCCAACATTTCCCTCAGATTTGTCCAGGTTCATCCACATAGAATGAAAGCATAGTTTACTGTTACACAGAAACTGTGGAAAACTATATACTTTTGAATGTATAAACACTGCAAAATCCTAAAGGCTAGTCTTAAAGGCACTCCCCCTTTGTAAGAACACATCTGCTAAAATGATGCCTGCACTGTGCGGTTCTTACTTGTGTGTGTGTGTGTGTGTGTGTGTGTGTGTGTGTGTGTGTGTTTGCCCGTGCGTATATGTGTGTGTGTATGCTTAACTAATTGACCAAAACTTTTATACTTCATCAATTAAACAGCTGTCTAATCATGCAAAATGCCTAAAGTTATAAATATTGCATGGGATAGGACTACAAATCCAGACACAATCACTGCAAAAAGAAAATAGATCATTTTACAATCTAACTGGCTTACACATTTTGCAATGATTTAAATTTGATTTAGGAACAGGGCTTTACGTATGGTATGACCTGTCCTTCACACTGACAATGCAGACTGCTTTGAAAATAAAAGACAGGTTCAAAGATACATCTGCTTGTTTATCTGCAGGATGGGGAAGGGTTCACCCCTTCACATCATATAGAGTTCTAGTAAGGAGCAGATGGAAGAAGGTGACAAAGGACTGCATTTAGGAAGCAGAAGTGGGAAAGTCCTATTTTATGTAGGGAGTATCATTCATAGATTTTCTGCATTCAAGTGTATTTCACACCTTTGTCATCAGATAAATAAAGAAAATGCATGGACAACACTCTCTGCAATTATTCGGAATGAAGTAATGAGATACTACTTGGTAGCATTCTGGCTAGCTACTGCAAAAGCCCTGGGCTGATTGATAAGTTACTGGGCATACAAGTTAACTGACACTATTTAACATATTAACAATAAAACCCTTAGCATGTTTTCTCAGAAGTCTCACCAAATAAAATGGAAATTATTCCCCCAAATAATTAAGGTTACATGTCAAAAATTGCCTTTATTTAGGGTTTTATAAAACTTATGATAGACACATAGAAACACAGCAAGTCAGAAGGAAACTCCCAGGCCATCTAGTCGCATTCCCAGCTCCATCCTGCTCTGCTCACGACTTGCCTATCATGTGCATGTCCAGCAGTTTGAAGAAATACCTCCACCCTATTAAATACATGTCTATGGAATATCAACAGATGTACTTCATACTCACTTTCAATTCCCCTACTAGCAAAGTCTTTTCCATGGGCCAAATGATATAGGTGTGAATTGTTTAGCAAGGCCTGTCACATAAAACAGAGTTATACCAAACATACAATCTACAGACAATATTGTATTAAACAACATAACAGTTACTCTTTTCAATGTCACTGCTATTTATTCTATTTATTCTAATAAGAATTCATCTTATTATAAGATTAGTTATTAACATAACCACTTCACAATGTTCGACATTTGATGTCTACAATACCAATGTAATGAATGCACATACCAAGCTTTAAAGTGCCACGAAGGTGCAATATCAATTCATCAACAGCATATAATTATCCTTGGCATTAACCCAACCTAGCTAATTGGAAAGTTTAACAGATTTTAAACAAAAGTGATGCTTCTGGTCACCCAAGAAGCAAAAGGCAACTACTTCCTTCACATCTAAACAGAAATGCCTGTTTTTAATCCAACAGAGATCTCTTTACTTCTATGAAAGTTAGAGTAGCTGTATTATTCCACTGTGCCAAAACTCCCTCCTATTAGAGGTCATGTGACTAGAAAACTGGAATGACTCTTAGGTACCTTCCATATCTTCCAAATGACAATCCACCCTGTAACTACCAACACAAATCGAGATATTAGGCAGAATCATTTTTGAGGTTATGCTCTGCTTTCCTGAAATAAATCTTAGTTAAAACTTCAACAGTAGTTTTCCCAATGCATTATTTTTGCCACTCCCACAGCTCTGCTCAAACACTAGAATATACTATAATGTGCAATGCTGGCCAAACACAATCCTCTTGCAGCTAAAACTAGATTGTGTATATACCCCTATGAGTCCCAGGAAACCTAGAGGGACAGAAATTTCATGACTCTCCTGGAACCCAGGAGTGTTTCAAAATCACCCTGGTGTCATTTTTGGAGTTTGCAACCATGCCACATTCGTAACCACTTGTTCTTTCTTGTACTGAAAAGAATCTATTCCTATATGAAAATGAAGTTTATATTTTATTTGTTACAAATATTTCCTGCAGTTTCTCAAAGGGGTTCCTCTTCAGAACAGCCCTGTGACAAAGGCTGAATGAAAGAGATGTCAATATGAGTGGATCCTGGGAATTTCTTTCCTAATCTTCCTTTGACATGTCAGCTACTAAATGATATGAGCTATTAAACACTTACTCTCATGTTGATCCATCTCATTTTTCCCACAATAAAGTGTGATAAGCCCCAGTAGTGTCCCCAAACAAAAGGTAGTGCATATTTTCATATAGTCCTCAATACAGATACAAAACAATAAACTCGATGCTTACCTTTGAAGGTATGCATCCAACATTCAAACAAGTTCCACCTAGTGTTTCATTTTTTTCCACACAGACAGTCTAAAGTGTAAACAGAAAAGGGAATTTTATCATCTCAAATAATTGCCACTGAGAGAGTGCATATTTTTGTAGTTTTCTTGCAGAAAATTGATTTCTGGATTTTTAGAATTACCACTGGTAACATTTCTCCAATGGCAAAAGTTTCATTTTCAGCTCAGAACTTCCCAGGTGCCAAATGTCATCAAGAATACTTTCAGAAGTGATGCTAAGAACACATTGCTTGGGAAATTTGTGAAACTGAATTGCCACACATCTGTTTCATTGTTTGTCTGAACTGGCCCTGTTTCCCAGACACAGACAGAGCTTCCTTACAGAAACATGGTGTTCTCCTTCTGAGGACGTTCCTGCTTTAATCTTGAGTAAAATTTTGATTTAAATCAAAAAGAAAAAAGTCAATCTCCCCTCAATAATCATTTGAACCAGGTCAAGATTGAGGAGTTGATTCTCAAGGCTCTTACTCTAAGTAGGATGCAATCCTGAATCTATTTAAATAGAAAGAAATATTTCTTAAGGCAGACATTTTTCTGTCTAAATGTGCACAGGATTGTACCCTATGTGTGAAGTTTATAATCTTGTATGTGAAATTTGTGCATTAGCCTTGCATTTGCAACATCATTTTGCCAAAATGTGTAGCAATTTCTTTGAATTTCAGGTAATAAAGTTTCCAAAGGGCAAATGGACAAACTAAAAATGTATTTGCCTTTTGACAATTCTTTGAAAGATTATCCAGATTATGGCTACATTATTGGGCCATATTCGCTCACCTTAAAACCAAGCTGAGCAGCTTTGATTGCTGCAACATAACCCCCTGGGCCAGATCCAACAACAGTAATGTCTGCATCAACTGAAAAGAAAAGAGAAATGCATTTTTAAATTAATGTGGGAAAAGATGATGGAAAATATTTCACACTTTAAGATTTGCTATAGAATATAATTTCACATATATGTTTAAAGACTGATGGTAAAACAGATTTAAAATCTAAGTGAACATTCTTCCATTATTATAGAATAGTATTTTATCACCTTTTTATTACAATTAATAAAACTTACCACCAAAGCATGTTGCAGCCACAGTGCCCATTCCAGCAAATTATAAATGAAATGACTTACCCAAGAGATTTTTTCAGAACAAGACTATTTCTTCTATGTATTTTATCAGCAAGTTAATCAATTTCTGCTATTTCTAGTATCTTGTCAGCTGCTCTGAAGCTGACAGTGTTCAAGAAGTTTTTCTGTAGCTTACAGAACTATTTTTTTCTGACTCCAGCAAATTCAAATTCAATTACTTAACTTGGGAATCCAACAAAATCACATAAATAATTCAATCTGATGTTAAAGTAGTTTCAGTTATTTGAAATGATAATGTTCATCACCTGATCTGATAGTCCCAAGTCTGTTGCCAACCTACCAAAAATTATTTTAATCTACTTGGCATTTCCAGCAAAAGTATCACCATAATTTATTTATTCTTGGGTGACTTTAATAGCAACTCTCTATTACTTTGAAATTAACACTTCTCAATTATAACTATAACAAACATGAGTAGAATTGAATATATTCATCAACAGATAAAACAAATTCTAAATTTGTGACCAATAATTGGTCACACAGTTGTCTAGTTAAATGGAATTCTAAAACCTTTTATTTAACTCTGATGGGATAAATTCTCTCTGCCTGCCTTGTCCAATTAATTCTTCACAGACTACTCTTGTAAACCTATCACATGAGATTGAAACCCTGGAAGGACTAGAATCGCAAAGTCTCCAAACTGCATTTGTTTTGCTAAGGCTGCAATCCCATGCACACTTACTAGGAAATAAGCCTCAATGAATGCAGCAGGCCTTATGTCTGAGCATATATGTGTAGAAGTCCACTGTCAATCTCCTTTAGGGTAATAATCATAAGCAGAGCAATCATGACTGCCTCGAGATTCCGTCAATCTCCAGCAAATAGTTGGAAAATTGTATCAACCTTGCAGCTGGGGACTGGAGAACAAGCATGGAAAGAACTGTGACAGATGCACCTCTGAGGTTCCAAGAACAGCATCAGAGAAGGGCTTTTCAGGGTTTTTCAGTAGGAGGAAAGGGAAGAGACTACTGCTGCCAAGATAGAGCATATCCTGGCAGCACCTCAGCCTCCCTCCCACTCCAAGGCACTCACTTGAGACAGGGCTCTAAGCAGCATTGGGCCTAATATCTCTTTTTTGCACAATGCTTAAAAGTAACACTAGATTAGTGGTTTTGTAATAAATGTTAAACAGTGGCAACCTGGTACTGCTCTAAGGACTACTCAAGAAAAAATAAACTGTTAGGGCCATTTGGGAAAATACTGCAAAATTGATTTTGGCATATTTTGTGGCATGATCTTAGATAGGTAATGTTCTGTACTCAGGTATGGAAACCCAAATATGAAATATGTAGGTAATATGCAAAATTAGAAGAATTCATAATATTTACCTTGGTCCGCATAGGTTCTTAATGGAACTGCAGTAATGCCTTGTAAGCTATGTCGAATCCGACTAAAATGGCTTCTCTAATTTAAAAAAAGAGAGTAGTAAGAAAGTTTAAGTTCTCCCAGAAGGATATTACATTGAAGAACATACATAAATCAAAGCAGAATATATTGATTTGCCACTCAGGAGATACAAGTACACATAGCCCAGTACATGCATTGTTACACTGACTAAATTATTCATTATTAAGTGGAACAGAAGTTAAGGTAACGCAACAGTCAGACATAGGGAGAAAACATTGTTCCCTCTTGTAACTTTATGTCCTCAAATCTCCAATGTCTGCCTTTTTAAAACAAACTGAATCAACAAAAGTGTATCATATTCTTACTTCATAGGTGCAATTTTTGTGCACTGAATGGTACTTCTGTTTATTACACACAGCTAATGTATACAATTAGAAAGTACAAGTTGGAGAAATTCCTTTGAAATGCTTTTTGATGAGTGGCCACTTCGGAGATTTTCTACTGCAGATAGACATAGCAAAGTCTATGCACAGATAAACTCTCAAGCCAGTATTTCCTCACCAATGTTTAACATTTGCCTTTGGAATTAAATCAAAGGCCATATTCTATTCTGCGTATATAGCAAGGAGCTGACAACTTCTGAATCTCTCAGGCATATCCCAGACCAGTGCAACATGTAAAAACCCCTCACAGATGACCAGACATCCCTTTTCATGAAGTGGTATTCTTGACTGTAAAATATGTGTTTCAGAACAGTGCAGGAAAAAAGTCACAGGTCTCTTATATCTGAATTTTTAAATGTAGGAAAACCAAGGTAACGAGACATTTTCCATTATTTGGAAAAGGTAACTTGTGCACTGGAGAACTAAGTGCATCAACTGTCAAGGTAAAGTTTGAAAAATAAGAACTGTTCCTTAGCTTTGACAAAAAGATGTGATGGATGGATTTTCATAGAAAATTAAATGTTGGACCTTTCTTTTTACATAGGAGGATCTGCAGGATAAAAATATACCATGCTACTACATATGCTGGCACAACAGTTGCTCTGTTGCTGACCTGTGCCTTGGTTAGGTCTTCTACTACCACACACTATATCAAACTCCTTAATAGACTACTAATTCTTAACAGACAAATGGCTAACTTGTGGCAGAAGTGACAATAAGGACTTGGAGTCAAGGCAGAGATTATTTTAAATCTGTGTCTAGCAACAAGATTTCTTTTTTCAGCCATGCTCTGGAGTACACACAACCCATTTAGATCAGGACAGTAGTGTTAAAGGATAAGTAGGGGGCTTTTAAGATTACAGTAGGTGCGAGGAGCCCAAAGCAAAAAGACAAATAAGAATATGTTAACTTTTAGACTCAGATTCAAAGCAATGTCTGTTCAGTCCTCTGCTGTCCAGAATATTAGTCAAACAGCCAATTGGGCTGACTATGGCATAATCAGGGGCATGGTCTACCTGTCTTTCCCACACAATTCTGCTTGTTTACTCTGAGTACTGATCTAAAAGCATCCCAGTGCAAGTAGGGAGGATTATGCATTTATTTTCTCACCTACACCAGAGTAACACAGTCCCATACCTGGGCTTGCAGCATACTTGCTCACTGGCACGAACAAGAGCTGGGCTTACTGTGCTTAAGAGGCTTTTCCCAGCACAGGGCGCCATGGGCCAGCTCCACCAGCTGAACAACTGCCTGCCCTCGCACCTACAAAGGCACAGGCCAGGAGGCCGGCCAGAGGGCAGCCCGATCTCCCCGCACAAGCGCAGTCTGAGCTGCCGGGCAGCGGGCCTACGAGGGGTCGAGGGTGCTGCACTGCCTTGCCGTGCCGCTTCAGCGCCCCTCCCGCGGCGAAGACGGTGGGTGTGTCCCCCTGTCAGGGCAGGCTCCCGAGCGGCAGGCCTGCAACTGGGCCCGGCGCTCTCCCTCGCCGCTTCCCGCCCAGCCCGCCCGTGCCAGTACCTGGGCGAGAGCGCAACAGACGCGGCTCCAGCTCTGCATGTTGGCGCTGTGGTCGTTGCCGCCACCGGCGTCGGCCCGGACCACCCCAGAGGTTCACCCGTCCGCCAAGTCTCCGAGGCGGCAGCGGCGGCGGCGCCAAGGACTCCGAGGACTCGCGCAAGCGCAGGAGCCACGCAGCCGACGGTGAAGCCCGGCTCGGCCGAAGGCCTGCCTCGTCCTTCCCGGCGCGCGGGCGGGAGGCCTCTGAGGCTGCTGCTGCACGGCGTTCCCCCTAGCGGAGGCAGCCCCCGGTGCAGCTGGTCGCCAGTGCCAGGAAGTGTCGCCGATGCTGAGGAGGCCACCTGGAGCCGGACGAAGAGGTGGGAGTGGAACCCACCTGCTCCTCCTCCGTGCTTGTGAGCCACCAGGGGGCAGAAAACTCCATGGCTCTCCGTTTCTTCCCATTTTGGAACTAAAGCTGAACGAAAAGGAATAGATTGCAGCCCATTAGAGAAGGAAGGAAGATCGGCTTTCGTCTCCTCCCTTCTCACGCTGTCATTTTAGACACGCAGGTCTACAGTCTCCTATGAAGGTGTGTGCAATGTGTAATGTGAGAATATTAGAGGTACGTGGTACGTTTTAAGCCCAGGGCACGAATCTGGAAATAGAAGCAAGGACTGGGTAGTAGGCACGTTGATCAGCCTTTAAAAATATTTTAACTATGGACATAACTATGATTCCAAGACTGTGGTCCTAAATACACTAGGGAATAGTAACCTGCATTGGAATACAGGCATACCTCATTTTATTGCATTTTGCAGATATTGCGTTTTTTTTACAAATTAAAGGTTTGTGGCAACCCTGCAATGAGCAAGTCTATTGGTGCCATTTTTCCAGCAGCGTTTGCACACTTTGTGTCTCTGTCACACTTTAATAATTCTCGCAATATTTCAAACTTTTTCATTGTTATTATATTTGCTATGAGAATCTGATCAGTGATATTTGATGTTACTCTTGCAGTTGTAGAGGGGCACCACGAACCATGCCCATGTAAGATGGCAAACTTAATCGAAAAATGCTGTGCATGTTCCAACCAGCTGTTCTTCCATCTCACTCCTTATCTTCTGGTCTAACCCTATTCCCTGAGACACAGAAATATTGAAATTAGGCCAATTAATAACCCTACAATGGCCTCTAAGTGTTCAAGTGAAAGGGTCGCACATCTCTCACTTTAAATCAAAAGCTAGAAATGATTAAACTCAGTGAGGAAGGCATGTCAAAAGCTGAGATTGGCCAAAAGCTAGGCCTCTTGTGCCAAAGAGTTAGCCAAGTTGTGAATGCAAAGGAAAAGTTCCTGAAGGAAATTAAAAGTGCTACTCCTGTGAACACACAAATGATAAGAAAACGAAACAGCCTTATTGCTGAAATGGAGAAAGTTTTAGTGGTCTGGATAGAAGATCAAACCAGCCACAACATTCCCTTAAGCCAAAGCCTAATCCAGAGCAAGGCCCTAACTCTCTTCAATTCTATGAAAGCTGAGAGAGGTGAAGAAGCTGCAGAACAAAAGTTTGAAGCTAGCAGAGGTTGGTTCATGAGGTTTAAGGAAAGAAGCTGTCTCCATAACATACAAGTGCAAGGTGAAGCAGCACACACTGATGCAGAAGCTGCAGCAAATTATCCAGAAGATCTAGCTAAGATAATTGATGAATGTGGCTGCACTAAACAGATTTTCAATGTAGATGAAACAACTGTATATTGGAAGAAGATGTCATCTAGGACTTTAACTGATAAGGAGTTGCCTCTTATGGATGAGCAAAGAAACTTGTTCCTTGAGATAGAATCTACTCCTGCTAAAGATGCTGTGAACATTGTTGAAATGACAACAAAAGATTTAGAATGTTACATAAACTTAGTTGACAAAGCAGCGGCTGGGTTTGAAAGGAATGACTCCAATTTTGAAAGAAGTTCTACTGTGGGTAAAATGCTATCCAACAGCATTGCATGCTACAGAGAAATCTTTCGTGAAAGGAAGAGTCAATCGATGCAGCAAACATCATTGTTGTCTTATTTTAAAAAATTGCCACAACTGCTCCGACCGTCAACAACCACCACCCTAATCAGCCAGCAGCCATCAACATCAAGACAAGACCTTCCACCAGCAAAAAGATTACGACTCACTGAAGGTTCAGATGATAGTTAGCATTTTTAACAATATAGTATTTTTAAAGTAAGGTATGTACAATTTTAGACATAATGCTATCGCACACTTAATAGACTACCCCAGGGGTCTCAAACTCAACTTACCTGGGGGCTGCTGGAAGTAGAGTCTGGGTGAGGCTGGGCCACATCAAGTATTCCACCACCGCGGTGGTGGTGGGCCGCTCATCCCGCGGCCGGCCCAGGCGCCGCCGGTGCTTTGAAGGCCACAGGGCCCCTCCCCCGTGCCCGTCCCATCCCAGCAATTGGCCCGCGGGCCGTGAGTTTGAGACCCCTGGACTACAGTGTAGTGTAAACATAACCTTTATATGAACTGGGAAACCAAAAATTCAGGTGACTTGCTTTATTGTGACATTCATTTTATTGCAGTGGTCTAGAACCAATCCCGATATTTCCAAGGTATGCCTGCACTGTCAAGTAAGCATACAAAGACTTGCAGTGCAAGCCATATACAGGTATATGAGATACTGCCCTACCCATGTGTATTTATTCTGAAGTAAGTAGTTCTGAATTCAAGGAGGCTTACTTCAATAAATTGAGCTTGTGATTGCTACCTGAAACATCACAGTAGCAAATTCTTTGATCAGAAAACTATATCTTGTCATCTTTCTTGAAGCAACTGCTAGCATCACCACAGCTGGTTAACTCCACACAACTAACTTTTCCAAGCTTCAGGCATGGAAAGCAGAGATGATTTCAGTGCCAGTGATTAACATTGGGAATGTACCTCACAAGGATGATCTGCAGATAAAGTGGGAGAAGAGAATCATGGATACCCCCTTGAGCTCCTTGTAGAAATGGTAGGATAGAACACAAACAAAGGTTCCAAACTCCCAGTTCCAATATCCTTATCAAAAGTTGTGCACTATGGCATAGTGAGGAGGGATTGATAATCACCACTACCAGTTAGTCTTGTGCTCAAAATCCACCAGCTAAGGGGCTATAGGATTTGAGGAAAACCTCACCACACTGTTAGAATGCCAAATCTGACTGTGCCATGACAGATCATGCTGGGTGACCCCACAACTCAGGCCACACCATCTTTCTCACCTCACAAACTCCTGCATGGAAGCTGATCTGTTGCTGAAAGGAATTTCAGTCGGTTGGGTGCTGCTTCTCTCTTGTATCATATGTTTGAATTGTGTTTTAATTTTAATCAAATGCCTATTGTATTTCCTGACTATGTGCACCAGCTGCTGCCTTTGTTCCTTTTCTTGTGTCTTCTCTTGCTTTCCCTAGGACAGATTTCTATCCTGTGTCTTCTTCTGTGGTCCACACAAAGAAATCCCACTCCTAAGCAGTAACAGTTGACCAGGATTTTCCTAGCTGATCTACCATGGGGTTGTTGAGCTCCATGCTCCAGGCAGGCTCCTGTACAGAAGTGAAATTTAGAATCCTGGCACTACCTGATATCTTGAAAGGTTACTGTGTTAAGGTTCCAATCTTTTACAATATAATTATTTAGACAATTAAATTTCAGTAGTGTGCAGTATAGCATGTGTAAAACAAGTAGACATTTCTAACCTGCTCAGCTTTGTTAAATATGGAGGAACAGAGACATAAAAACCCAAAATTGCACTACAGAGTGTTACTGTTTTTGGGATAGAGTACATTTTGAATGATCAGGAAGACAACTCAGTATGATTCTGTAACATTTTATGCTTGTTGCCAACATGGGAAGGATTTTCCTCTGTTTACTTTCTGGTTTATTGCAACAAAGTAACTATTGAACTGTTCCTCTCCATAACTAATTATTTTGTAGGCTTTCGACAATGTTTTATTGTTAGGTTTTATTAATGCTCACTATATCACTGTATTGGAATTTTATTACATGAATTTTGATGCTGTAAGCAGCCTTGAGAAGGCTTCTGCCATGAAAGGTAGCCTTGAAAATTGTTAAATAAATAAATGATATAAATTAACACAGACTTCCATAAGATGGCAGTATGTGCTCACTTCAAATACTATTTCTGTTGCAGTGATTTGATATATCTACAAATTATAGAACTGTTCTATCCTCTTGTCGGACGGGATTGATTCTTAGAAACTTGGTTCCCCTCACTGCATACATTAATGCAAGGCCTACAAGCCACCACCCACTCAAAGAGCAATGAAAGTTTTAGAAAGGAATCATAACTAATAAGCCCAACAGTTGAAAACTGATTGTTTTCTGGTAACAAATGAAAACCTATAGAACAACTATATGTTCCAAGGACAAGAATTCTAAAATATGTATCAAACTTATGATGAAAAGCCTGTCTGTGTTGTACACAATTTAAACAGCATTTTTATATTATTGTTATATTTATAAAATAAAATACCTGTTCAAAAGGCAAATTATAAAGCTACTCAGCTACCAGTTCTCTCAGTTCTGAAGCTGCCTCTGGAAGTCCTGAGTAACACTGCTAGGTAGACAGTCATACAAAACAGTAAAAAGACTGGAATAGCTTCTGAAATTTTCCTTCTGCAGCCTGCCTCCTCTGCCAGAAAGGACACTGTATTTGCAAATAAAAAGAAGAGTAAAGTCATTTGCTGGTTGGAACCTACAGCCATCAGTCTTAGAACTACACCACCTCCCTCCCGCAACTCTTTGCTGGTGTTACTGTTTATAGAAAGCCTGGAGATGTGCTTGTGGGGGTTCAGTAATTTATCAAATTGGCCTAAACAGGAAGTAAAACAGTCATTCTTTGCTCCAAAGCATCAGAATCCGTGCACGTCACAATGGACCCCTTCTGACTTGTGTTTCTTCGGCTCAGATTCCTGCCTCAGCAAAGACTTTTGCACAACCCTAATCCAAATATTATTATTGCATGTGGAAAGATCACATGCCAGGTGATAGGAGACATAGAGCTATAACTCTCTGGCCTCATGCTGCATGCTACATAGCTAAGAGGAATTTTGATGAAGAAATAGCATTTTGCACAAAAGGGAATATTTTGTACAGCCTGATCTCCCTACATGCATAGGAAAATGAGCACACTGCTAACAGCTCTTTACCTAGAACTCTGACAAGTACCTCATCTTGAGACTCCATACACAAATAGCCCACACCAAACTCCATTCCAGAACCTAAGGGGACAGGACAGATAATTGCGCACAGGTAAGCAAGGCAAAGGAGAATACATGCTGTAACATGCATCTGTGACAGCTGGAGGTGCTTTCACCATCACAGTTCCTGATTGGTGGGCTATGATGGTGTTTTCAATAATCCTGTGAAGGGCATCTGATTTCTTGCCATCTTTGTACACTCAGTCCCCTTGTTACAAACATCTGAGTTAAGAACAATCCCTACTTACAAACAAGCAAGCCAGCCTAATCTTTGGGTGGCAAGCAGGCTCTGGACAGCAAGGAGATGAAGGAAGGAAAGGGAAAGAGGAGGGGAAAAAGTGGAACTGATGAGCAGTGAAGTCAGAACTAGAAAGCAACTACTGTGGTAACCACTCCCCTCTCCAGCCGTGCAATCAAACCCTGACTCTCCAGCACCAGTCCCATATGAATCATTATCCAATTAATGTTAGGCTTAATGTTAGCTCAAGCTCAAGTGTTAACCTTCTATAATCTTTTTACTAGTCTTTCTATCTTTTTATCTAAACTGTTTTAAGAACTGTACTGTACACCTACACACATACATACAGATACTGTATCTCTCATTTCAGTACCTGTAGTTACTTTATTATTCCTGTATTATTATAATTATTAAAATGTATTGTGTTTAAGATATTGTAGTGTATATGGAAGTGTTTGTTAAATGTTTATATGCTTTATATATGTGTGTGTTCCTACTTGCATACAAATTTACTTACATACAAATTTGACTTAAAAATGATCTCAGAAACAGAACTTGTTAATCACAGTAAATGTACAAAATTGTTCTTTAAATATGTAAATATATCATAAATGTATATGTGTACATTTGTTTACCATTTAGCAAATGCTTCATCACATGTAAAAAATAATAATTTGTTTGCCACACACTGTGTCAAAAATCACTATGTAAACATTATTTCAGTCCCCTGACCCGGATAAAACAGCACCAAGTACCCTCCAGAGTAAGCTTCCAAAACTTAATATTTGCTGACTGCTAATACAGTTATGTCAAGGATCACTGCCTTGTCACGGCAAAGGGGCTTGCGTAGCTCAATGAAGCTGTGAACTATGCTGTGCAGGGCCACCCAAGACAGACAGGTCATAGCAGAGAGCTCTGACAAAATGTGATCCACTGGAGGAGGAAATGGCAACTCACTCCAGTATCTTTGCCATGAAAACCCCATGGACAGTACCAAATGGCAAAAAGATATGAAACCAGAAGATGAGCCCCTCAGGTTGGAAGGTGTCCAATATGCTACTGGGGAAGAGCAGAGGGCTAGTACTAGTAGCGCCAGAAAGAATAAAGCGACTGGGTCAAATCCGAAAGGACACTCAGTTGCAGATGTATCTGGTGGTGAAAGGATAGTCCGATGCTGTAAAGATCTATACTGCATAGGAACCTGGAATGTAAGATCCATGAATCAAGGCAAGCTGGATGTGGTCAAACAAGAGATGACAAGACTGAACATCGACATCTTAGGAATCAGTGAACTAAAATGGACAGGAGTGGGTGAATTTAATTCAGATGACCATCAGGTATACTACTGCGGGCAAGAATCCCTCAGAAGAAATGGAGTATCCTTCATAGTCAATAAAAGAGTAGAAAAAGTAGTACTGGAATACAATCTCCAAAATGACAGAATGATCTCAGTTCGAATCCAAGGCAAACCATTCAACATCACAGTAGTCCAAGTCTATGCCCCAACCACTGGTGCTGAAGAGGCTGAAGTTGACTGATTCTATGAAGGCCTACACCACCTCTAGAATTAACACCAAAAAATGATGTCCTTATCATCATGGGGGATTGGAATGCTAAAGTAGGAAGCCGAAAGATAACTGGAATAACAGGCAAGTTTGGCCTTGGAGTACAAAATGATGCAGGACACAGGCTGGTAGAAATTTGTCAAGAGAATACGATGGTCATAGCAAACACACTTTTCCAACAACTCAGGAGATGACTCTACACATGGACATCACCAGACGGTCAACACAGAAATCAGATTGACTATGTGCTCTGCAGCAAAGATGGAGAAGCTCTATACAGTCAGTACAAACAAGACCAGGAGCTGACAGTGGCTCAGATTATGAGCTTCTTGTTGCAAAATTTAGGCTTAAACTGAAGAAAGCAGGGAGAAGCACTAGGCCACTCAGGTATGACCCGAATCATATCCCTGATGAATATACAGTAGAGGTGACAAATAGATTTAAGGAATTAGATCTGATAGACAGAGTGCCTGAAGAACTATGGACGGAGGTTCACAGCATTGTACAGGAGGCAGCAACTAAAACCATTCCAAAGAAAAAAAAATGCAAGAAAGCAAAATGGCTGGCTTTACAAATAGCTGAGGAAAGAAGGGAAGCAAAAGGCAAGGGAGAAAAAGATACACCCAATTGAATGCAGAATTCCACAGAATAGCTAGAAGAGATAAGAATGGCTTCTTAAATGAACAGTGCAAAGAAATAGAAGAAAACAATAGAATAGGAAGGACCAGAGATCTCTTCAAGAAAATTGGAGATACAAAGGGAACATTTCATGCAAAGCTGGACATGATAAAGGACCAAAATGGCAGGGACCTAACAGAGGCAGAAGAGATTAAGAAGAGGTGGCAAGATTACACAGAACTATACAAGAAAGAGCTTAAAATCCCTGATAACCACGATGGGGTGGTCACTGATCTCGAGTCAGACATCCTGGAATGCGAAGTCAAATGGGCCTTAGAAAGTCTGAGCAACAACAAAGCTAGTGGAGGCAACAGTATTCCAGCTGAGCTATTCAAAATCTTAAAAGACGATGCAGTAAAAGTGCTACATTCAATATGCCAGCAAATTTGGAAAATTCAACAGTGGCCACAGGATTGGAAAAGGTCAGTTTATATTTCAATTCCAAAGAAGGGCAATGCCAAAGAATGTTCAAACTACCGCACCATTGTGCTCATTTCACAGCTAGCAAAGTTATGCTCAAAATCCTACAAGCTAGGCTCCAGCAGTATGTGGACCAAGAACTACCAGAAGTACAGACAGGATTTCAAAGAGGCAGAGGAACTAGAGATCAAATAGCCAACATATGCTGGCTCATGGAGAAAGCTAGGGAGTTCCAGAAAAACATCTACTTCTGCTTCATTGACTATGCTAAAGCCTTTGATTGTGGGGAATCACAACAAATTGTGGCAAGTTCTTAAAGAGATGGGAGTACCAGACCATCTTATTTGTCTCTTGAGAAACCTATATGCGGGTCAAGAAGCAACAGTGAGAACTGGACACGGAACCACTGATTGGTTCAAAATTGAGAAAGGCATTCGGCAAGGCTGTATACTGTCACCCTGCCTATTTAATTTATATGCAGAGCACATAATGAGAAAGGTGGAGCTAGATGAATCATCAGTTGGAATTAAGATTGCTGGGGAAAATATCAACAACCTCAGATATGCAGATGATAGCAGTCTAATGGCAGAAAATGAAGAGGAACCAAAGAGCCTCTTGATGCGGGTGAAAGAGGAGAGTGCAAAAGTTGGTTTGAAACTCAATATCAAGAAAACCAAGATCATGGCATCTGGTCCTCTCACTTCCTGGCAAATAGATGGGGAAGAAATGGAGGTAGTGACAGATTTTATTTTCCTGGGCTGCAAGATCACTGCAGATGGTGACTGCAGCCAAGAAATTTAAAGACGCTTGCTCTTGGGGAGGAAAGCTATGGCAAATCTAGACAGCATACTAAGACGCAGAGACATCACCCTGCCAACAAAAGTGCGTACAGTCAAGGCTATGGTTTTCCCCGTTGCAATGTATGGCTGTGAAAGTTGGACCATAAGGAAGGCTGAGCACCAAAGAACTGAGGCCTTTGAATTGTGGTGCTGGAGGAGACTCTTGCGAGTTCCTTGGACTGTAAGGTGATCCAACTGGTCAGTCCTAGAGGAGATCAACCCTGACTGCTCTTTAGAAGGCCAGATACTGAAGATGAAACTCAAATACTTTGGCCACCTAAAGGGAAGGAAGGACTCACTGGAGAAGAGCCTCATGCTGGGAACAATTGACAGCAAAAGAAGAAGGGGACGGCAGAGAATGAGGTGGCTAGATGGAGTCACTGAAGCAGTTGGTGTGAGCTTAAGTGGACTCTGGGGGTTGGTGGAGGACAGGAAGGCCTGGAGGAATGTCGTCCATGAGGTCGCGATGGGTCAGACACGACTTTGCGACTAACAACAACTATACAGTTCTGAAAGATCAAATCTTATCCACACACTGGGCAGTTTCATATAACGCAGCAACAATGATGCTTGTTGTTGTTGTTGTTCCATCATGTTATCCAAGTCCAGTAGTGGTATTTCCGTATGCTATGCCTGTTTTTGAGATCTGACCCAGAAACCACAATTCAGCATGGTACTGAATCTATAATCATAGAACTGTTTGGCAAGAGCGGCCCATTCCCACCCTTGCTGAAGGGCTAACCAGAGAGCACCACTAGCAGCTTCCACTTGGCACAACTGTCAGAGGTGTTCTTGGTCCTCCCACCTCTTGCCCTAAGGATCATCTTTGGGGTAGAAGAGGGACTCAGGTGGTGGCACTGGGAGAAGAGCAATGCTCTTGATTTCCCTACTGCTGCTTCTCCAGCACAAGCAGGAGCAGCAAGAATCCATTGGGCATCCCTCATGCTACCCCTTTGCACCCACCGGAGGGAAGCACCCCACTTTGCTCCTTGTGAGTCAGCATGTGAATTCTGAATATTTTATTTATTTATTTATTTATTTATTTATTTAAACAACTTATATGCCGCCCCATCTCATGAGCCTCAGAACAGCTTACAATCATTAAAATCCCATATAAAATACCAAAAAAATCATCAAATAAATAAAATACATAAAATAAAATAGTGGATCCAGCCTGGTCAATTTAAACCAACAAACCATTAACAGTTAAAATAGCGTTTAAATAAAAAGGTCTTGGCCTGGTGCCGAAAAACAAATAAGGACGGCGCCAGGCAGACCTCTCTGGGGAGCGCATTCCATAGGTTGGGTGCCATCGCAGAGAAAGCCCTTCTCCAAGTACTCACCCTCCTAATTTCCTTCATGGAGGGTTCCCAGAGAAGGGCCTCTCCTGCAGATTTCAGGGGGCGGGCAGGCGGGCATATATGGACGCAGGCACTCCTTTAGGTAACCAGGGCCTAAGCCGTTCAGGGCTTTGTAGGTGATAACCAGCACCTTGAATTGGGCCCAGTCCCCGTCAGCAGCCTGGCAGCTCTATTTTGCACCAATTGAAGTATCTGGACCGTCTTCAAGGGCAGCCCCACGTAGAGCACGTTACAGAAGTCTAATCGGGAAGTGACCAATGCATGTGTCACTATTGCCAGGCAGTCGTTCTCCAGGTGGGGACACAGCTGATGGATCATATTATATTATATTTTTAATAAAAAAAATCCTTGCATCAGGTTTCTGATTTGCAGGATGATCATGTGGGCAGTTGATCTAAAACTGCACTGTAAACTTGCTGTTTATTTGTGAACAGATAAAGTGCCCTTTAAGTGCATTTTTTAAATGGAGACATATGATTTGA